GACATCAGCTAATTCACATGTAATAGACACTCCTCAAACGCAGTAAGTGTGAATGCTTTCATGAAAGTAAAGCTCATTGAATGTTAGAGAATTCACATTGGAGAAAAACCGTAAGGACATAATGGAAGTAAAATACTTTCAGACAGTGCTAAGGGCTAATAAGACATCTGGGATTTCATGGCAGAAAGGAGCCCTGGGAGCATAATGGATAAGGAAGAACCTTCAATCAGAGTTCTATCCTTAGACAATGTCAGCTAATTCACTTTGGACTTAGAGCAGTTGTATGTGATGAATACGGAATACCATCTAGGGGAGGCGTGAGATGCATTGAATGAACATCAGAAGCCTGTGAGCACAATCAATGTGGAAAATCATTTGGGGACAACATAGCCCTTTCTCATCTTTGGAGAATTCACAGGAAACACACACTCATAAAGACTGTGGGAGGGTGTTCAGTCAGTAATCAGGCTAATTCATTCTGGAGAAAAAGCTTGATTATGGAGAATAGGGAAAAGCCTTTGGTTCTTTCCTTTACTGATTTTCAGAGGAACTTTTGTGATATATGGGGAAACTTGGGGGAAATTCAGGGTTTACTAAGTATCACATGAAAGCATTAATTGCAGTAAGTACAGATTTAAACTTTTTGTTTCCTCCACCTCAACCAAAGCTTTCATTCCATTCTCTGATTATCTCATAGGACTTTGATTTTTTTAAATATATTTTATTGATTTTTTACAGAGAGGAAGGGACAGGGATAGAGAGTTAGAAACATCAATGAGAGAGAAACATTGATCAGCTGCCTCCTGCACGCCCCCTACCGGGGATGTGCCCGCAACTCAGGTACATGCCCTTGACCGGAATCGAACCCGGGACCCCTCAGTCCACAGGCCAACGCTCTATCCACTGAGCCAAAGCAGTGCTGGCGGATTTTGATTTTAATGTCTTATCAACTGACTGCTTTCTCTCCTTCCACCCTAACTCCTTATCTCAGACTAGGATTTTAAATTTTCCAAAGGACATCCTTGCCTCCCACTATATTCACTCTCCCACGGAGGTAGAAGATATTCAGGCCTTGTGCATTTCTTTTTTTTTTAATATATTTTATTGATTTCAGAGAGGAAGGGAGAAGGAGACAGGAACATCGATGATGAGAGAGAATCATTGATCAGCTGCCTCCTGCACGCCCCCCACTGGGGATCGAGCCTGCAACCCAGTCATGTGCCCGTGGCCAGAACTGAACCTGGGACCCTTCAGTCCACAGGCCGACGCTCTATCTATTGAGCCAAACCAGCTAGGGCAGGCCTTGTGCATTTCTGTCTTCTGGCTTTGCTTAGAGGAGAGAGAGAGAGAGAGAGAGAGAGAGAGAGCGAGAGAG